ATCTACATGTCAACTATAATCAGCAAAAATACTTTCCAGATGAAAATTGAAATTGTTGTGCATCTTTTCTACAACGGAAAATAAATTGATGACATGTTGTGGACATCCATTATCATTTCTTCGACTCTACTTTTCTTCTTTGTTCATGTATATCAGTAAAATGATGAACAAGGTATCTATAGCAAATCGTAATAATATGACAGTTGCCATTGAAATATTTTTTCCATTTTCTTGTCCTGCTATGAACTATGGGAGTAATGATTATTCAGTAATGATTGTCAGATTGGAAATACATGTTATATTTGGAAAAGAGTTCGAACACCACTATGATATCACAATTATTTAGAGAAACCCTGTATTTTATGTTGAAATCATTTCAAACTGGACAATTTGTACGTACTTTAGGAACATGACATATGTGTCAAATTGACATTCGAATACGTCAAACTGACAGCAGAGCTACTTATTAGGATCCTTTCAATAACATCAAATTATTATGGTATCATATTCTTGACGCTAAAAACAATCTGAGAGAAATTCGTAAATAGGCCAGGGAAGGGGCCCTAAAATAACTTCAAACTATCATAAAATCAGCTTCTTGACATTTTTGTGTCTTGAAAGTGATTTTGCAGGCTAGCAGAAATATCGTTTTTGCATGAATCATTAGCATTAGTGGCAATAAATCTCGCAATAAATTATCCAAAAATTATAGCCGAAGAAAGAATTTAAAATTCCAAGGTGGTTTTGCTAGTTTAATAGAGGTCACGGTTATTTAATAATGACAATTTTGCCACACTCAATATGCATTTTTCATTTCATGAGATGATTTCGTTAAGATATTATTAATATTGAATCATCCCATCGTCCATCGACTTGTTAATATTTATTATTTCACTTGAACAGTTCTCATTATCTAACTATATTGCCATTCAATACATAATTTTCATAATAATTGATGGCTTTTGAATCCAGTGACGGAGTCGGAATTTTCCCAAATAAAAAATGCGATCGATCGCAGTGCGCTATTGTATTTTTTTAATGAAAATTTCTGATAGTCTGAGAGAGCGAGATCAAATTTGGCCCATCCTTCATATAGGATGTTTTAGATGGGCCGAAGACTGTGTCATTTCAATTTTTTTGGAAATGTCATGTGATAAGTGATATATGGGCGTAACTATTCAAGATTACTTTCTTCCGGCTTCAGTAGACAGATTAAAAGTAGTTGAAAATTCCTGAAGACTAGAGTCTTTTGATGCCAATTTGACTCATTCGTCAACGTGAAGAAACTGTCACCCATGCGATTCGATTTTGGGACATATTGGCGATTTTGGTCACTGGTTGTGTAAAAAGTTTACCATACATACGCACTATCTTCTCCACATAATATTTTGATAGTTTCCACTAGTGTCAATCATTCAGCGTTGAATGTATTTTTCTTCAAAGGATACCGCTCGTTTTATTCGCGAGATTCACGAAGTGGGCGACATCTAGGTTACATAATACGAACTTCAAACTGGGGGAAAACAAACTGCTGTCTATGGATAAAGTGCATAGACTACATTGCATACAGCTTGCTGTAGCTGTAGTTATCAAACTTTTCAATGACATAAAGTGTTGGCACTGTTGGTAGTGATGATGGTTGAGTTGGTTAATTTTTTTACATTATTACATTTATATTGGCTTAGTGAACGGGTGAAGAATTGGAGATAGTTCAAACAATTCAAACTAATTATGACGAGCAAATCAATTGACATATAAAAGAACAGCTACAACATGTTTACAATACCCAGATTGTCCTGCTATGCAGGAACAAATACAAATCCATTGTTCTACAGAAGTTCCTCTGGACCCCAACTTCAATTTTGTGGGGAAGATTTCATCGCCGAAGTTTGTAGACAAAGTACAAAAATGTGCCTTTTGTTGAAGTCTTCTGCCTCACACAAAATCACATGATTAGCACGGAGAACTGCTTCTCCTTCCATTACTGGTCGGCTTTTTCCATTTAAATAGAGCAAAATATCTGCCAAAAGAACATCTACAACCGGCGTTATTAGCGTTTTCGATCGAATATTGACATGGCAAGAAATTTAAAAACATCACTATTATCAGTACACAGTACACAAGCTAATGGCACTAATGGGATTGAGTGAGAATTGAGTTTGTTTTCCCCCAGTTTTGACGTGGCTTTGACATGGAACGATGAAAACCGAGCGCCACCTGGTGACATTGATTCCCGCGAATAGGGGAAATTGGCTGCATTTTTGATATGTGACATTTCAAGGCACTGAACAAAATGCCCAAATATCAAACTGATGTAATGGATAGTTTTGGTGCTAGAGGCCGCGGAAGTCTCAATCTTGATTTCTTTGCTCCTGATAAATAATGCTCTGAACTATTATTTAATTTGTTGATAGGATAAGTCACAACGAGAAGTTTTTCTCAATATTGTTGCTGTTGGTCAAGAATTGTACAGTGTGTTCCAGCAATTATGGGTGACATAAAATATGATACTAATTGGTAATTCAATGAAAAAAGGATATTGCTAAACAGTTTTCCGTATTTCATGTTCGCCCTGCGTAAAAAGAGGAGGTACACAACGTTATTAACTTGCTCTATAATTGTAGCAGAAATCAGTATTCATTAGCATCTCTAAATGTATATTCCTTGTAACTTTGAACCCCTTATAGGTCGAATATTAGGATAATATTGTATATTTTTTCAAATGCATGTCACTGTATTTCAGAGATCACGACATCTAAAATCGTACTATTCTTCAGAAAATGATCAATTAATCATCGTAAATTGACGTGGCTTAGGATTGCAGTAATTAAATAGGTATAGTTTGTGAACTTTCTTACGTGTGCTGATTTATTGGTGCTATACGATTTCTTATAAGAGGGAAAATGCAAAATGACATTCCCACTCAAACCTTAACAAATGGGAGGATGATACTTGAAATAACTTCATTGCGATCATTGATCATTATTGTGACTTGCACAAAAAATAAAATGGTACTTACACCTCCATTATAAATGCAATGAGCTACATCTCTTTACAGAAGCTTTTCAGTTGTCTGTTTATTCTCGATATAAGTTTAATATACTTAAATACCAATGAAGTATAAATGTCGAATTTCGCAGTGAAATATGAATGCTTGCATGTGTATGTGAGTTTATTGGTATTTGTGGTAGTTGTAATTCGGTTCTACGACGTTCAGCAATAGCACTATTTTTTTCACTCAAAAAACCCATAGCATATATAATGAAGGGTAAATATTGTTGTATTTTTTGTGCAAGTCACAGTATTAATAAATCATCTCAATGAAGTTTTTTCTAGTTCAATCTCTCATTAGCAAAGGTTTGAGCAGGAATGTCATTTTGCATTTTCCCCTCTAGTAACAATTCGTATAACATCCATAAATCAGCACACGTAAGAAGGCTCCCAAACTATTCAATATCTGCAGCCGTCTGCAACTCTGAGCTTCAATCAACTGACGTTAAACAATTGATCATTTTCGAACGAATAGTACGTTTTTCGATGGCGTGATCTCTGAAATAAAGTAACATACATTTGAGAAAATATACTATAATATAATTTCCATCTAAGGGGTTTCGAAGTTACAAGGAATATTCATCTAGAGATGCTAACGCATTCTGATTTCTGCTACTTCTATAGAACAATTCAATAACGTTGTGTATCTGGCTATCTCCTCTTTATACACAGAGTGTTCATGAAATACGGCAAAACTGTCTCTTAATTGAAATGCGACACGAAACAATATCCTTTTTTATTGAATTATCAATTAGTATTATTTTATCTCACCCATACTTGCTGGTGCACACTGTATAATTCTTGACCAACGGCACCAATATGGATAAAAACTTCTCATTGTGACTTATATTCTATCAAAAAATAATATTATAATAGCTCAAAGAGCATTAATTATCAAAGAAATCAAGAATGAGACTTCTCTAGTCATTACATCAGTATATGGGCATTTTGTTCAGAATGGTCTGGACTATAACATACAAAAAATTCAGCCAATTTGACAGGAGGTCTATTTCCCTTATAAAACGTGCGGTGTCCTTTGCCTCCTAGGGTCACTTCTGCTTTAATTGTTGAATATCCGAATAGTCAGTGGCCAATGGAATAAGGAAAGTATGGAGTCTTCCTCCAATCAGCTTATTTTCTTCTGTGATGATTTTTATTGGTTCTACATCGGTTATGTTATGATTTATGAAGTTCCTTCTCGATATCTTTTCAACACTAGATATCAGTAAAAAGTATCTTATGCAACGATCATGTAATGATAGATGTTAATACACGAGCACGAGGTAAGTTACGATAACATCCGAAGGTGAGTGTCGCAAAGCGTGTGCGAGTGTATTAATAGCCATTACATAAACCTTGCATACACTATTTTTTCAACGACCAATAAATAATAAAATATCCTATACTTTTGACGGGATGTGATTGAATGTTGATTGAAATTAAATGTCAAACTACTCGAGCAAGTGAGATAGAAACATAGATTCCCTTCATTATTCACAATTACCTGTGTCAATAGGCCGAAAATTCGTTTCATAATGAAGGGTATGTGTTTCTGTATCATAACGAAAATGCGTGTCGATATGATCAATTAAAATAAATCTTGATAATATACCAAATTAGCGATCTACAACACCATGCATCGACTTTATTTATCTAACATTAAAATCAATGACAATTTTAAATCGCTTCAAAAAGTTCATTCACAAATTTCTTGATCTTTATGAGGTGAATGAATACATGGATGCTATCCTAAACAAAAATTATTGTTCCTACCTATACTGTATACTGTACATATTTTCTTTTCGAAATAAATCACTCTGCCAAAACTGTTCTATAAAAAGTGTACCATACCTTTTTCTACTTGACCTTTCATTTCGCTAGTTGTCATTAGTGGTATCCTATGTAATATCCCACCATTACTGAATCTGAATGGTCACTTTCCCTTTCAGGCTTGAAAAATGGCTGGGATCATTTATCCGCCGGGTTGCCGCCCAATAAGCGACGATTTGAACACGGACGAGCTGATTCGTCGTTTGAAAACGCTCGCCCACACCTTGCAGGCGATGGGCCAAGATGACGGGGCTTACAAACAATACATTCCCCTGTCTCTGCTTCTGGTCGAAGAACAGTTTCTGTCCCATCCTTCGCGAGACGTCCAGCTACTCATAGCCTGCTGTGTGGCAGACGTTTTACGAGTGTATGCTCCTGAAGCACCCTACAAAGATCCACAGCAGGTCAAAACCATTTTTCTGTTTCTTATCACTCAGCTGTCGGGTCTAAAGGATCCTAAAGATGCGGCCTTCAAGAGATATTTTTATTTATTGGAAAACCTGGCTTACGTCAAATCGTTCAATATGTGCTTTGAGTTGCAAGATTGTCAGGAAATATTTTGCGCTCTCTTCCATCTCATGTTCAAAATAGTAAATGACGAACACTCTGGCAGAGTGAAGAGTTTCATGTTGGACGTTCTTTGTCCCTTGATATCAGAAAGTGACATGGTTAGTAATGACTTGCTCGATATAATTCTGATAAATATCGTCGAGCCAAACAAGACACAGCAGAAAAATGCTTATTTTTTGGCCAAAGAGCTTATCGTAAAAACATCAGAAACTTTAGAACCATACATCCAAGCATTCTTCAACCAAGTGTTGATCCTTGGAAAAGAAGACAAAAATCTCCATATTTGCGGAAAAGTATACGATTTAATTTATGAACTCAATCATATTAGACCACAAATATTACTAGCTGTCTTGCCTCAACTCGAATGCAAATTGAAGAGTCCTCTTGAAAGTGACAGGTTAGCAGCCGTAGCACTTCTAGCGAAAATGTTCAGTGAGAAAGATTCTGAACTGGCGAGAAGACATTCAGCCTTGTGGCGGGCATTTTTGGGTAGATTCAACGATATTTCTATCGCCATTAGAACAAAATGCGTGCAGTACTCCATGCACTTCCTCCTGAACCACCCAGACTTAAGGAAAGACATTACTGACACCTTGAAAATGAGACAGCACGATTCTGAGGAAACGGTCCGTTATCAAGTAGTAATGGCTATTGTGACAACGGCCAAAAATGATTTCCAAGTTGTCTCCGATTCCGAAGATCTACTGGAATTTGTGAAAGAAAGAACTCTAGATAAAAAGTTCAAAATACGGAAAGAAGCAATGTCAGGATTGGCTCTTATATACAAGAAGCACCTCAGTGATCCTGATGTCCCTAACGCTACAAAGAAGGCAGTTACTTGGATAAAAGATAAGATCCTCCATGGTTACTATATGGTCGGTATGGAAGATAGATTGTTAGTTGAACGATTGTTGAATACTTGTCTGGTACCGTACCAACTTCCAGCTGCTGAAAGAATGAAAAAGCTCTACCATCTACTCGGTACTGTAGATGAACACGCAACCAAAGCATTCATGGAACTTCAAAAGAATCAGCTCTGCGTTAGGAAACTGGTATTGGAATTTTTAGATTTGCACAGGAAGACACATAGTGGTCCAACTCCGGAATTGTTGAAAGAACTAGGAGTGAAAGTGCAAGCTTTATCCAGATGCTTGCCAGAACCTGTCAAGGCTCACGAGTATCTTACTAAGTTCAGCAATCACCTCAAACGGGATGCAGCGTTATTGGAACAATTCGAAAATGTAACAAAACCGTCCGTGAGCTGCAAGGAATGTTCAGAAGCGACCGCAGCTGTCTTGAGAAAACTAGGGCCACCAGTAATGACGAATTTGTATTACAATACCGTGAAAATGTTATTGGAGCGAATAAGCTCTGTGATGATCGACCATGAAGCTATAAAACTTCTGGTGAGTTATGTGGAAGATTGTTTGAGGGCGGGGAATACCATAGAGGAAGTGGGTTTACATCCCGCCACTGCTGGGGATAGGGGCCTCAAGCTGTTGGTGATGTTGAGTGTGGTGTTTCCATCTCATTTCATGTACACCGATGTACTTGAACAACTGTTGAGTCTGTTGCAATTGGAAGATGAAAGTATTGCTCCATTGGTATTATCTCTTTTCACCTTCCTTGGAAAATATAGATGCTTATGTAAGTAGTATAATTTTAATGGGAGACTCCGCTTCAAGTTGCCAACCTAAAAACCTTTACCAATGTAGAATCAACATTATGGAAGTTTGAATACTTGAATGGCTTTATTTTGATGAAATTTGATTGTGGGAGTCTTCTCAGCTTTCTAATAGTGATTTGTGAACTCCACCTCTAATTGGTTGAAAATCATGTTAGTGCATCTGTGTTACGCCAATACTCTTAATGTTGTCAATACTGTCACCAATGAAACGGTATTAGTGAGTTCGAATCATTAGGGTTTCATAAACATTTGGGTAATCAAATCAACCGTTGACACTGGAATATGAATACTGAACAAGGGAGTCTCATGAGAAACATGCAAACGTATAAAGAATATTGGACATGAGAGTTCCAAAGTTAATCTGGTTACAGATTAACAAAACTGTTTGAGACTACTCTTGACTTGACAAGAAACCGCCGTAATGATAATCAATGTAAGATGTTTTTAGGTCTTCATATTCATTGTTGTTCATTTATATTTCATTACTACCCATAATATCTCATGCTATTATCAATAGTATGTTGGAATATCTTGTTTCTTAAATGGTCTTGTACTTTCAGCTATCCTTAAACACTATTATTGCCTATTTGAATATTACCTCTTGCAAACCAGTAAGCCAAGCCAACCCCTACATCCCTTCTTCCTACTGCAACCATCAAACTCTAGTTTCACAAAAGAATAATAATAATAATAATAATAATAATAATAGTGTTGTCCATATATAAATAATCTGAAATGAGTGACATAAATGTGTCAGGTAAAATTGAGGACGACATGACATATTTCAGAATGAATGCTGGTAAATCAACATGATTTTCAACTAATCAGAAGCGGAGTTGACAAACACTAATTTTTCTACTGAATAACTTCTATTAGAGAGCTCAGGAGACTCCTAGAATCAGATGTCATGAAAATAAAGCCATTTGAGTAATCAAACTTCCATAACGTTGGTTCTACATTGGTAGATAGAACAATTTTTTTTTTTTTTTAGAGGCTTTTAGGTTGGCAACATGGAGCAAAGTCTCCCATTGCATAACCAATTTCTATTCATAAATTAAAAATCTTACCACAATATTTCAGTTCTATAAGTTTGACATGATTCAAAAGTCATCTTCATGTTTGATAATCAAGTTATGGTAATAACCTGAACAAGTTGAATTTCTGGGAAACACAATGGCTTACTCATCATACCAATATTCTCATCATTGGTACTACCTATTTCTTTTCTTTTTTGTTTACACTATTTTCCTGTCTGCTCACCATTTACTTTCGAACGTGAAGATGAAATTAAAAAATATTCAAATTAATTGTAACATTTTGTTTCATCAGATAGTTTTAGAAGTATAATTTATTGCAATTTTCCTTCTAGAGTCATTTGTTGTAAAACTCGGAATTATTTTTTCAGATGAACAATTTCCAGAATTGATGGATCAGCTGGCCCCAATTTGCCAGGAATTTGCCCAGACAGGAACTGCAAAACAAGCCAAAGGAGCTGTCCACTGTATATACAAAAATATGCCAGCTCTACATGATTCCATATTTCCCAATATATTAGAATTCATAAAGAATAACTTGTCATCGACTTCCCCACATTATAGAACTGCTATCGTTACTCTAGGACATATAGCATTTAATATACCAGAGACATATAAAGTTCAGATCAAGAATATTGTTTCCAGAAAGGTGAGATATCATTTTTCAACAGGTCTTAGATTCAAACCCTAATTTAAACCTATTTTTATTATCATTTCAATAACTCAATTTGATCCATGCAGTATCAAGTACACATTTTTGGATCTAGCATTCAGGTTTAAGCTATCTATGCAAGATTCGGTATAAATAACAAATATGTTCATACATTGTAGTGAACAAAAGCGATCACTTCAAATGGATATTCATGATTTTGCCTATCAGTAAATTTGATATATGTTTTTGTTACTTGAATGTACAGGTTTTCAATTTACTCGGCCGTTACTTGACATCTTCGTCAGGTGATATACTGGTACAATGAACTAATCTAACCTTAGCTTGCTTAACTTTATATATCATACTTTCCCAACCTGAAGGATTTGTTGCCTGTGGACAGTTTCGATAAACCTACATTTTCGAAAATTAGGCACAATATCTACATTAATACAGTGTACCGGATTAACTTGAAAGGGTTGATAGCAAATACATATTATCACCTACTAAGAAAACAATCGATATGTTGATTATGGGAAACCCACTGAGCCCTTTACTTGCTGAAATTTTCCTGGATAACTTGGAGCGAATTATACATAAACATTCATTGATAAAACAATGTGTGTATTGGTATAGATATGTAGATGACGTTATAAAATGCTTTAAAGGAACCAATAGACTATTAGATACTTTTCACCAATATATTAATACTATTTATCCAAACATAAAATTCATAATGGAAACGGATACAGGAAAGTCAATCGATTTCTTAGATTTGACAATAAGTAAAATTAATGATGAACATGATTTACCAATTTTCCATAAACCTTCCCACACTGATATCACTATTCCTAATAATTCACAGGCTAGTAAATGTCTCTCTTTGGGAAGAAAATTTCAATAAAGAACTCAATATCATGCAGTCAACAACGGATACAACGTTAATTCGATAGACAGTATTCTTTCTAAAAAACTCCATAGTAAAGCTATTCAAGAAGTTCATCCTACCATCAAAAATAATAATCAAAATTATATTACTTCAACCCGTGTCGGATCATCAACTGAAAAATTAGCTTCAATTTTACATAAACAGGACTTAAAAGTAGCATATAAAACAAATAACACGTTGGGAAGGTTTATTAAAAATGATAAAGACAAAACTTCTGAATTCGAAAATTCAAGGGTATACAAACTCAGCTGTGGATCTTGTCCTAAAGTATATATCGGTCAGACTGGTCGTACGTTTAATCAGCGTATTCATGATCATAAAATGAATTTTTTGAAAAAGAAAACAAATTCAACATACGCCAACCATATATTAGAAGAGAACCATAGTTTTGATGATAATTTCGAAATTCTACACGTAGAAAATGAATAAATAAAACTCAATCATTTTGAATCATTAGAAAGTGACAAACTCAAAATTTTACTGAACGATCAACTAGACCTCAGTTCACTACTATAGAATATGTTTTCTTAGTAGGTAATAATATGTAGTTCCTATCAACTCCTTCAAGTTAATCCGGTACACCGTATTTTAATGTAGTTGTGCCTAATTTTCGAAAATGAAGGTTTATCGAACCTGTCCACAGGTAATTCTTATCCTTCAGGTTGTAAATGTAGAATAAATAAATGTTAGGCAAGCCAAGGTTAGTTTAGCTCATTGTGCCAGTATTTCACCTGATGATGCTACTGTGTTAGCGAAACATCGTGTGATTGAGAATTTTGTGGAGTTTTTACATTTGCTATGGATTCCCATCAAGTAACGCCCGAGTCAATTCAGAACATCTTTTCCATGCAAATTATCCAGATCGTGAAAGAGCTACTGGTGAAAGAAGCCAGAGACATTGAGGTGGACACGAGCGACACAGACGTTTGGTGTTCGGAGGACGACCTACCCGAAGAAACCAGATGCAAAGTGGAGGGCCTGAAAGCCATGGCCCGGTGGCTGCTAGGGCTCAAACAGGACACGGCCTCGGCGCAAAAAACCTTCCGAATGTTGAACGCCTTCATCTTGCACAAGGGGGACCTGCTGCAGTCGGGCAGGTTGACCAAAGCGGAGATGTCGTGGCTGAGGCTGGCCGCCGGTTGCGCCATGTTGAAAGTGTGCGAACAGAAAGGCGTGGGCGATCAGTTCACCGCCGAACAGTTCTACAATTTGTCGCAGCTGATGGTGGACGAGGTGAAGCAAGTACGGGAAATATTTTCCGTGAAGCTGCACAAAGGTGAGATGAACATGTTCTACGCTTTAGTAGTGGTGCTGGGATGGTATGTGGGTTGCGTGCAAGAACTGTCAGATGACCGACCCTGGGGGTGGAACATTGGAACACAGCCTCATTTTTTGTATTTGTTTACAAATGATTGAAATATTTTTTCACAATTATTTTGGCATACGAATCGTGTTTTTCAGCTATCTATTAATTCGCGCATACCATCACATTGTGCTGTTATACAATGAACAAAAAATGCAGCGAGAGACAAAGGAATCCGGTTGGTTCATTACGATTTAAAAGTAAGTACCTACTATAGTCACTCACTTGTAGTTTTCATTTTGAAATTTGGTACCTGATTTCTCATTGGAATGCCTTCTGCAATAGGAGCTAATAGAAATACTCGTGGAATTTCTAAAAGAATGCAAGAACATTGGATTCATGCAATCAAACGGGAGGACTGGTCTAACATGCTGAGTTGTAGACATTTTCAATCTATTAGCAGTATTAGCTTCTATTGCAGAAGTGGCAGAAGGAATTTCAATAAGAAATGACAAAATTCTGAAATTAAAGCTATGTGAGATTACTATTTACCTGAAAAATAATATTCCTTCGTCTCTCGCTGCATTTTTTGTGTATTGTACAATAGCACAATGAGAAGGCATGCTTGAACTAAGAAATAGCGCAAAAAAACACGATTCGTATGCCAAAACATTGTGAAAAACTATTTCAATCCTTTGATTCCTCTGTAAACAAATAAAAAAAGTGAGGTTGTGTTTCAATGTTTTACAGAAAAGTGAGGTTGTGTTTCAATATTTTACCTCCAAGGTCGGTGATCGTGCACGCCACCTATTGGCATTTTTACACTGATATGGCACCGAGGTGTATCTGCGAATACGAAACACCGCGCAAAGAGGAGATGGAAAATAAAGACGCTGAATTGCTGCTGTTCAACTGAATAAAAAACATAGTAGACAGATCAATGATGCGAAAGTCACAATATTCCAGGGTTGGAATAAGTCATGACTTTTATAAAAAATGCATGTAGTCCGACGTTTTTTAAATCAATTCACTGTAATAAAATACAATTTTATTTACATATACAAAAAAAAATAATGTAACAAAAAAACTGATATGTTATTCACTTCAGAAATCCAAAAGAATGAAATACCTAACAAAAAGTAGTAGATTTTAGCTCCCGACGGGAGATAAAATAGCGTGAGATAAAATCCAGTATTTATTCCGTGTATAATACTTATTTTTGTCTGTGACAAGAAAAGTGGCATACAATGTTTTATGCAACAAGTGGAAGAAATCGTATTTTTATGAGATAGAAATTAATAAGTGTTGTGATCAAATCAGAGCTACCTGCGTCTCAGTACCCTATAAATGTCAGAATTACTTGATAGTGACTTTTTACATTTTGGTTAAAGTAGGTTGTTTGTTAGGTTGCCACGGCATGATACATTGTTGGCAAATGTTAAAATAAATCTTGACACTTGTCAGTTTTCCCTGCAGAAAAAGGAAACTCTTTTAAAGACAACAAAAACGTATAGAAAATGGAGGAAACCGATAAAAATTACGTTCCTAGGATATCCTTACGGAAGCGGAAGAAGCAGCGTGATGCTTACGACAAGGATTTCAAAATGTTTGAGTGTTGGATGAATTCACGGAAGATAAAAGGTATCGGTGAAAACGTGCTATTGGCCTATTTTTTACATTTGCAAAAAAAATTAGCCCCATCGTCGTTATGGACGAAATACTGGATGCTTCGCTCGACTATTCACCTTTATAAAAAAATCGACATTTCAAAATATGGTGAACTAACGAGCTTTTTGAAGAGCAAATCACAGGGATACAAACCAAAGATGTCCAAGACATTAGAACGACCTGAAATAGAGAAGTTTTTGAACGAAGCTCCTGATGTCGAGTACTTGTTGATGAAAGTGGCTTTGATAATGGGGATTAGCGGTGCTTGTAGATGCGATGAATTGGTCAATTCGAAAATAAAAATATTCAAGAAAAAGGGAAATATTTTCACGTAGTTTTGCCAGATACTAAAACCAAGAAATCGAGGAATTTCACCATACTTGAAGAAGGATTTCCAGTCAACCCGATCAATTTGTGTAAAAACTACATGTCTTTGAGACCAAAGAATACTAGTTCTAGCTGCTTTTTTGTTTTTTTACAAAAATGGCAGGTGTACCAGCCAGTGTGTGGGAATAAATACGTTGTCGAAGATACCTTCAAGAATTGCAAAGTTTTTGAACTTTGAGGAACCAGCGCTCTACACCGGTCACTGCCTGAGAAGGTCTTCGGCGACTCTTTTGGCCAATAAATGGGCTAACATGACTACTTTGAAGCGTCTCGGAGGATGGAAGTCCTCGACGGTGCATAACAAAATACAAACTGCAGAAAAAATACAAGGTTCTAATGTGTCGGCGTCTTCCAGCACTGTCAGCAGTTGTACCGATATGGGAGCATCTGGTTCCAATGAACCAACGAATTTTACAATTATTACTTCAAATTCGAATAAACCGTTAGCTTTTTCCTATAATTTCAATATCAATGTGAATCCTGCTTGTAATAGTAATAAATAAATAAAATACTACTTTCATAACTCACTAGTGAGTTATAGATTATAACACACTAGTGTGTTATTTGATAGTTTACTTGTCTAAAATGACATTAATAATTATTATTATCTTTATTATTCCCAAGAAACATATATGTTTATAGCAGGGAAAATTATGAAAGAGCAACTAAAAAAAAAAAACATAAATTAGATAATCATGTGTGGGATAAATATTTTTTCCAGGTTTAAACAAGGGATTACCAAACCGATGCCTACCCTTGGACTTCATGGGATACTACGCCCTGGCGGGCAGAGAGACCGAGAACCGGTTGCGAGCCACCATCAAGAACTTCATGATAGCCGACATTAACCGACGGCGAGACTACGTGAAAACCCTGACGATGGGCGCCGGCCACATGGACAAGGCGATGAGCCAGGTGAGAATGTAGCGGCGGTGTTTTATATGACCGGACGAAAACATTTGATTTCTGGGGAACATTTTGTGTATTTGAGTATTTATTCAATAGCCATGAACAGTCATATGGTTCACATACATTTTTAGGTACAAAATGAGCTTTAGAAGCTAGTGTGTGCACCAGTCATTATTGAATCACATTTACAACAGATAATTCACCTATGAGTGAATTCGCTAATGAATCGTCTTATACAGTGTGTCTCACCCCTGTATCTTACGTATTCGTTGGGTAAGGATCCTGAAATTTTCTGGAGCGAGAGGTATACCAAAAACGCACTCTATGACCAAGTGGGGGACATCTTCAGTGATGTACACTGCTGGCCAACAGCCATGGGACCACCCCAATTTCCAGAAAATGATATTAGGTGTCGAAATAGGTTGAAAATCACTTCGGATTCGGAATCAGGATGCCTAATTCCCTAACTATTCATATTTTTCTTAAGAAGAATTTCAGCTCTGAAAATTTCATTTCTGTCTCACTTTTCATGGAAACACTCCCGTTTCTTACCTAATTGTCGAGTTAGGATTGTTGAATTTCCAGGAGAGAGAAATATTTCAAATATACAGTCAATGAGCAATTGAAGTTTCCATCAGTGATATACACTGCTCACTAGCAGCCATGGAACCACTGACACACACGGAAAATCATATTACCAGACGAGATCGGAAAAACATCTAATTCACTAACTACTGATATTCCTTCTGAAAAATGTTCAGTTCTGAAATAATGAATTCTGTCTCACTTTTCATGAAAGCACCCCAGTATATTACGTAATTATTTATGTAGGAGTCTGAAAGTTTTATGACCATGAAAGAGACCAATGACTAAGTAGGATCATTTAATTGTTGTTCTGGAATTAATAATCATGAGATCAGTTCTGATCAGGCATAACAAAATAACAATCTGAACTAGTACAATTGAATACATAATCAGGAGTGATCCAATGGATCAGAAATCATGACGGGTGTCATTGCAATGGATTATGAATGAATGAATTTGTTAATAGTATGAGGAAAATCGTCAAAATATGGAAAGTTAATGATCTGGACGTCCTGTTTTCGGATCTAAAGTGATTGTCAACCTATCTCTTTTCTCTGAAAAACTGAAAAATGTTTTAGGAGGCCATGTTTTGGTATTTAGACATAACTTTCAATTGTAAACAACTTTTCTCATTAACATTTTGCTGAACTTTCGGAAATGAGGGTACTTTACTCTAGAGCAGTTTTTAGATTATTTGACCTACCCTGTATGCTGTGTGACTTGCAACCATTCTAAGTGCTTCTAAAATGATTACTGAGCATGCACCAACCTTCGGCACTATCTGTATTTTGGTTGTGCAATTCGTTAAAAAGATTCCCATATGTTGCACATTTGAATGACCACACTGTAGAAGAGAAGGCGATTCAGAATGGCGTAACCTAGGGTCCCTTGATGGAAATTGACGTTAAAGTCATCTTAACAGGGTACGGACAGATCCTCGTCTCCTCTCACTCTAAAGCGTTTGTGAAACAGTTATATAGTTCCATCCTTATTCAATTCTGGGGATAAACAATAGATTTTTGACATTCGTTGTTTTTTAGGTTATATTGAAGTCACTGGCGTATCATACGTAATTTCCATATGGAATTCCTGATTCAACTATACCAAGATATAGATGAACAATCCACTAGTTTTAGAGTTTACTACTCCAGCATAATTTTGCGAGGTAGGAAACATATAAATTGTACTGAAAGCTTATAATATATTTCACCAGAAGAGACTGTTCTTAGAATGTATACCAGGGTTGACTGAATTGACCGAATGAATTCTGATTTCAAGCTGAGCAGTACTTTATCTAGCTATGAGCTGAATGGGCAGAGCCTTTTATGATTGAGAAATGGTGGATACCTCGATGTGGGTATCTAAACTACTGTACTCATGTCATGTGTGCTGAATATATTTTCGGAAATCCAACTCGGAGAAGAATTTATGGGAGTTACTAACATCACACTATGTATAAGACTTCGTCTAGGACGAAGAGTAAGCTGATGAAAAGTAATACGTAAAATCTGTAGGAAAATAAAGAATAGAATATGCTTACCTGATTTTTCCGTCTCCCTCGAGTAAAAAGTCATTTTCGAATAATTTATTGATGAAAGTAACGAAGAAGTAGGTATACGCAGTATAACTTATTGGCACGTTATTTCCACTCTTGCATCCTACATATTCTCTATTTGTGGTAGAGTAATAATTATATAAACTAATGTCTTTCGCCATATTGGATCCGTCATCTAGAATTTTCCAATTTTTACGAAACAATTTTGACGAAATAATTATAATCTCCGACCCCTAAAATCCCCAGATACCAATTCTGATTTTTTAATACAATCGGATCATATTTACAAATTTCGTTCGCCATATTGGATCCGCTATCTTGAATTTCCTAATTTTGCCAATAAATCATAAAGTTCGACCCCGAAAACCCTCAGATATCAATCTTAAATAAAAGCAGATCATAATTAGAAAATTTTCTTTCGCTATATATTGGATCCGTCATATTGAATTCTCCAAGTTTCACGAAACAATCATTATCTCCAACCCCGGAAAACCCCAGATATCTTCCAATTTTGAATAGAATCGGATTATAATTACAAAACTGGATCCTCATATGATCTTCCTCAACAAGAAAATACCCTGTACATGCCTATTATTAAAATTTTCAATGATTTTCTGTAGCGCCCATGGACGTGACGTGCCAGCAATGTCAGGGATACCAGTAGACAAAACTAAAGTCTCTAGATCATTAAAAAAGAATGCAGCTATGATCTGTCCGTACCCTGATAAGATGACTTTAACGTCAATTTCCATCAAGGGACCCTAGCGTAACCTAACACATCTTATATTCTCTCTCTCAGCTGCCGCACATTCTGCCCGACTACATGCTCGTGTTCGCCGTGCCCGTTTTAGCGCACGACCCGCAGCTGAGCAAGTGGGACGACGTGCAGCAGCTGGCGAGGGCCAGGCAGTGCTTGTGGTTCGTTTTGGAGCCGCTGGTCGTCAAGAGTGATTACTTCAGCTACGGGTTCTACAAGAATCTCATAGAGAAGATGAAGAACCACAAGGATGCTGTGAGGCCTGATGATAATTCTATCAACTATGTGAGTACACGTTTAATAATGATAATAGGACTTTATTAGGCGAAAGTTTAGCAACAAAGAACTATTCTTGAACTCGAATCTAAGTACATACAGGGTGTTTCAAAATTCAGTATCACAATTTAAAATGCTTATTTTTCAGGTCAAAATAAGACTTTTTCCTACAGACATGTGTTCGCAAACGCTTTGTTACTGATCTACTAAGCGATAATATGGTATGCTTACTGCATGATTCACTACAATATTCTCCATCAATATATAGATATTATGAAATTTGATAATATCGAATAACACCAATGTCTAGGGAATGATTATTAATTAGTCATAGTTAGAAATTCCCACGTACCTACCCCTAAGCCCGCACGTATATACCAAAACCATCATTCAAAAGGTATCATCAATCCATGAATCCAATCCAGAGATCAAGAAATTGATCTAATCTACACTTTGATGTTTTTTATTGATGATTATTATGTCATTTTGATTGCATGTGGTTTTCACATGGTTGTCATCAAATCAATGTAATTCTTCGTTCTTTGCCGTTTTATTCGTTCCTACACAATTCTTACACCAGAGAATCCACAAACAAACGCGACTATTGTTAGGAAAATTTGTTCTTATTTATATTTCCAGAATTACTACCTCTCGGAGTATACGAACGTTATTCTGGGACACCCTGTATAGTTGCATTGGATTGGTCACAAGCAGGACCTCTAAAAACGAGAATGTTCTAATCTCTCTATTTTCGCCCTAGATGTGTTGAAGAGAGATGGAAATCTCTGTATTTGAATCTGCCACAATTCATTTCAGTTCTCTTTCAGCTATTGAGTTGTACTTCACTGGTTAGTGCTGAAACAGTGAAAATACTTTTTTTGTAATTTCAGAAACTTTGGGCCCTCTGTGACCTTGCCTCTGGACTGTTAGTTACTAAAACGGTAAACTACGATCTGAAGGACTTTCCTAGCGAAACTCGCATTCCCACCATGTACTTCTGTCCACAACCAGACTTTATCAATACAAGAGTGTTTTTGCCGCCGGAATTGCAGTATCAGCCTAACACAAAGACAGGAATAACGCTGAATATGCTTAGCAACGAAAAACCGAAAAAAATCGCAAAACTGAAGAAGACTGAAGGTTGTGGTCCATTGGGCACTGATGTTGAGGTTAGTTCAATGCTTTTTTGTACTTGAATGCAATGTAATGATCGAAAAAAAAATTCATGATTAAGTGAGGGACAAATAATGAGTTTTTTGAAGTGGGGAGAAATAACGTTTTATGATGATAATAATAATAATAATAATAATATTATTAATCATTTATTTTCCTTTTGATTATACAAATATTATATAGGAATAGTCAAATTTTCAGAATCAAAGATTCATAATGAGAAAAATTCTCCTTCACTGTAAAAAAAACATTTACCTACTAAAAAAGTTTTAAGGCTACGTTTTAATAAAGATATAAAATCACTATTTTTTATTATGACAGGAAAATGATTGAAAATTTTGGGCCCAATATAGTTTGGAGCAACAGAAGTTATTTTAAATTTAGCATATGATACATGAAAAAGATTTTTGTGTCTTGTATCAATTTGATGATTGCGTATGTACACCTGTTTCAAATGAAAAAATAGAAGGCAATGTCAGAATATGAAACTGAAGAAACAAATCCTTGCATGTGTTTCTTCTTGATACTCTGCCAATACACCTAGTAATACACACATTTTTGGCCATTGTGGAATGACCCCAAAGGCAGACACCATACCTCAGTATAGATCCCACCTGAGCATGATATAAACTCTGCAACTGATTTTCATCAAGCACAAAACGTGAATTCTTGGAAAGGTGTGCCAGAGAATACAATTTCAAAATCAACTGAGAACATTGAGATTTCCAATCCAAAAAATGTTACTGGATCATTAGTATTTTTCAGAATATAGGTATTATGGTCGAATACAAGTTTTTGATATTCGAGACTGAGACAATACACAGTCAATACACGGTTAATGTGCTCTGTAGTGTTTTACTAATTCTTACTAGAGAAAGTGAAGTAATTTAAGTGTCCATTGGCAAGGATATTCAGTAAGCAAAAATCTACAGATCTAGCTACTTAACAGACTTGGTAATATACTGTAAACTGTTATATTGAGAGATATTGTTGCAATCCGCTGCAGTTATTCTAGACGGCACCTGCGAACCAATACGCGCAAAAACTGAAGCTAGTTTTTTAATCTCATCAGGACTTTTTCTGTCTACTACTGGCATGAGTTCTTTACCCAGTGGCGCACCTTTGGGTGAGACACATTTTATCCAACTAGTGTCTCAACTAACAACATTAACTGAAGGAATGAATGACATTCGTCAATTATTAACAGAACAGAATATTAAAATTGAAAAAAAAAAAGATTCTTTTTGAGTGTGAGTCTTATTTTACTGTCTTCTTTATTTTATTTTGTCAAATATATTTATGTATTCACTATGTTCCCTGCTATAAACAAATGTTGTTTCTTGGGAATAATAAAGTTGATTGATTGATAAATATTGCTAATCTGAAAACCGAAAATGAATTTCTGAAAAATATAATACAGAAATTAGAAGATAAAATCGAAAACACCTCTTTGTCATATATTTACGAAGAATGTTCTGCCAGAACATTGAGAGAGAAAAGTCTAATCCTTTTATGGGATAGTTGAAACTGCTGACAAGAACAAAGTGGTAAACGAGATGTTCGCTGAATTGGACCCATCTTCACCAATACAGTTTACTAAACTTAGGCGACTTGGAAAACCAAATACAGGGAAGATACCTCCCTTGAAAGTAGAATTCGCCTCTCGCCAGGATGCTATCTCAGTTTTGAGGAATAAAAATAAGTCGTCTTTGAAATCACACCCTAATGTAATGTGAAAGGTGTACCAGAGAATACAATTTCAAAATCAACTGAGAACATTGAGATTTCCAATCCAAAAAATGTTACTGGATCATTAGTATTTTTCAGAATATAGGTATTATGGTCGAATACAAGTTGATCTATCTTATTCTGACGATGATGAAATCTGATGATTTGTGTCTTCTCAACATTAAAAAATAGATCATTATCATTGAAATAATCAGATGCTAGACTAACAGAAATACTACATATTTGGACCACAGAGAGCGAATCAGGTGCCGATACAATCAGAATAATCATCTGCATAAGCAGTGTAGTTAATTTTATTAAGAGTTGAATCAATTTGATTGACATACAGTATGAATAAGATAGGTCCTAAAATGGACCCTTGCGGAACTCCCATATCAACAGAGATAGGTTTTGAGGTAATCCTTAGAATTCCATCATGATTAGAATGTTGAACGGAGACGAATTGTTCACGATTTCTTAGAAAAGAGGAGATCCAATTAGAGGATAAGCCCCTTATGTCATAGTTTTCAAGAGATGACAATAATTTTATATGATTGACATAACACAACTCATGATATCGAAATGTTACTTTCTCTCCAGTGGAGTAATGCTACTTTCCCTGTATGTTGACAGGCTGCAAAGGTAAAAAAGTTGAATTAGATACATGTCCGTCATTCAATGAACGTTTTATTTATTCATCATTGAAATTTTCTCATAATGGTGATGTCAGCCTGCAGTTGTCCTTAGATATGGAATTCTGTGATATTAGTATTTCTTCTTTGTTATTTCATAGGTAAAGGCCTTCTTCTGATTATCCTTGTTGACCGAGTCTCAACAATATCACTGACATCATCCTCGTCATCTGTAAATATTTCCTGGAATACATCTTGAATCTTGAAAATTGTCCGAAGAGTGAAATAAAAACATGACAACCTCATAATATAATGTCAAGTTATCGGGCACAATTTTGAGTGATCATCTACCCATAAAACCTCTTTGTAGGTTAAGGTAGGTGGCAGTTAAATGTGACTTTGACTCAACTTCTACTTCAACCTACGAAAGTGCCACAGCCACACTAGGAAAATCTGATTAGCTAACATAACGACAATAGGATGGTGAAGAAGCCAGACTTGATTCTTTGATTTTTTTTGCTTGAGTAAAATTTGAGTCTATGCAACAAATAAAATATACGTATACAATAGTTCTTCATAAACTTTATGGAGAAATAGAACTCCCTTTTTGCGCTTTGTGAACATAACTTATATCTTCAGGTTCAATTTATATGTTGTGCATGTTTCAGTTTTAACTGGGAATCATTTGAATTTATATTGTCATTTTACATCATAGCTTACAGACTTTTTTGGTGGAAGGGGTGGAATAGATGCTCAGGTATGTTTGAAATGATTTTGTTGTGATTATTCATTGGAAACATTATGAAAGACATCGAATTTTTATCAAGAGTGGAGGATAGAAAAATTCGATCAATAGCTTTTTATCTGTAATTATTCTGTGGTTGTTTTAAACATCGTCGTTCCGAATGAAAACTTAGTGAGCGAGGTATAATATTGTCTGTTCATTGTCACAAGATATCTCTGCCTATCAATGGCGCTAGTTTACTAAAAAATTTCAAATGTTCATCAATTTGGTTCTCAATTGTCAATATGGACAATTATTTTAGGTTGATGTTTTCATCTTTTATTTATTTCATAACTGTATTTAATCAGAGATAGTGGAGATTTGTTTCTGACTGTTTGATCTTAAAACGGACATACAATACTCGGCGTATGTTTCTTGCTAGAGCTGCTGGAATTGACTTGAAAAAGACTATTTCTACATGAAAAATTATTATTTTTCTGTGACGGGAAAAAAGTTTCGGCACTACGCGCCTCAGTGAACTAACTAATCTATCGAAAGTAATGTAACACTTTCCACCTTGGTATGTAATATATTATTGTCCTAATAGTTGAATTGAGTAATCATCCTTCTGGAATATTTTTTCTCTGATACATTCTTATATGTCCTTATTATGATTCCTTCCACTGGATCACTTATTTATGTGTGAATCATGGATTTATTTCTACTCATCACTCATAAATTTTTGATTCTCAGTTGACAGAGTACCAATGTATGTGTGATTTTCAGAGAGTTGGCAAAGTTATCAACAATATAAAGGTAAATAATTGGTTCCTAACTCTCTATCCTTAATTCTTAGGTTGCAAGCCATCACTTTGATAAGATGCAATGAGATGACAAATATTACAGTTCACTGTTTCAACATAAGACTTTTTTGCATTAAGTTGACTGAAAGGGCAATCTTGACATAAATACGAAAACTTTTTATGGTTACTTGGTCATGTTGAAAAATTAATAACTCGAAATAAACGCGAATTCTGCTTTTTTTTCAATGAACAGACAATGTACCTTGCTTACTAGGTTTTCATTTAGAATGAGAATGGTATGACTGAGAACGTTCGAAATTTCCAGCCTTCGGAAGCGTCTGACACGAAAATCCAACTGCCAGGTTTGGAAGAAGACATTGACGAACCGCCCTCGAAGCGACTTCGAGAAAGGATAACGGAGGATGACGAAAAGTGATTGTGTAAATAATGACATGTAAAGTGCGATCTCGATAGCCTCAAATCGGCTGGACCACATGATTGTGTGCTTTCTTTACAGTGAGTCTCACTTATATTGGATGTTCATGAACTGTATTCTTTATTTACTACTATCTACTACCATGGAATACCAAACCGAAACAGAATGAACAAGTTTTCAGTGATACTATTTCGATCGGATTTCAGTCATCACGATTTCTTCTGAACGTTGCACAGAAGCAGGAGTATCAAACCAGATTATTTGATGTTCTTCCTCTATTTATTATGGAATATATTTAACTGTTTGTTGAATTTCCATGGCTGTGTAAACAAAACAGCGCTCGACAAAAGAGCAAGCGACAAAAGAGCGCTCTAAAAATTACACTGCGGCATAAAAGTTGCCTCGTCGAGGTTAGGTTAGCACACTACACTGTTGTACCACTAACCAAACCGAAAAAATCAATGTAGTGTATTTAGGTTGTTTCAAGAATTATCGTCGGAAGGAGACTATAGGTCGATTTATGCACAATGCTTTTTCATTAATCTGTTGCTTTTATTAACTGTCATTGAATTTATGTATATTTAAGGACTTTGATGCCTTTATTCATTACCTTTCTTTAACTTCAAACTCTTCTTCCTGATCAAAATTTTGCGTACTTTGCCGTATAACAATATTTGTGTTCTAACCTCCACTACTCACATTATCAAAATAAGAGAAATTTATTCATATAGGTCTCGTGCACGATGGCCGACCCTGGTGGTAAAACATTGAATCACAACCTCACTTTTCTCATTTGTTCTCATTGAAATAGTTTTTCACAATATTTTGGCATACGAATCCGTTTTTTTTAATTCCTTCTGCCACTCCTGCAATAGATGCTATAATACCACTAATAGAAGGAGTATTTCTATTAGCTCCTATTGCAGACGGAATTATATTTGTTATAGAAAGATAAAAATTGATTTGGGTACTTGAGTGATTGAACGGAAATAGCAAGTTTCATAGTGAAATCGTTAATGATTGGGAAACTACAGATTAACGAAAAAGCGTCGTGCATAAATCCTCCTCATCTTTACAAACAACATAACTTAAATCTGAGAAGCGGCATTGTCATATCTCGTCATTTTATTGCACGCTGTTTTATCACGCGATGTTTTCCCAACCGCTGTTTTATTATATAGACGATTTTTACAAATGAGTTGAATCAACAAACACGCCTTCAAGATTTTGATATAATCTTGAACAATTAATGGGTCAGTTGACAAACAATTGTCGCAATGTGGTGGAATAATCGAATCATTTCCTTATATAGAGTATGATTCTACTGCTGAAAATATGGATTGAAGTTACTATCAACATTGGTCAGTCAAAAGCTTCATAAGAGTGCTAAAATTTGAAATCACAAGGAACAAATGTTTTTGGGCCTCCTGTTATAGTGTGAATGTAAAATTCGGCCATCTAACTCTTGTATGGGATATCACTCATGAAGTTTTACAAAACAAGTTATACCTAATGATCTTTTATTTTGAAAATCATGTTTTTTTTTTTATACAGAATGTTTTAGGTTCAATCTGTCTGAATCAGTATAATAAATAAAATCATCCTATACGTTTTCTTCTTTTTTTTTTCTTGTAGAGGATGTGGTTTTTTATATACAGGGTTGAATGTGAAGACAAGGGACATTATAAATATACATTCAGGGTGATTTCAAATCCCTCTTTTTGAGGATATATTCATCGCCTTTGTAATCACATCAAATTTTTGAATTACATAATTTTTTAAAATGATTTTATTCCAAATTTGTTTATTGTTACGTTGAAGTTTATATCCATCTTGGGTCAAGAAGAGCGGGACTGCCGGGACCTGAAGCTCTTGGTATATATTAAAATTTTTTTGGCAGAACACTAAAGACAGAGATATCAAAACAAGAAAAACTGACGGTGGGAAAAATTTATTAGGATATTTTTTCATCAGTTATAATTCACAAAATGATTCATTAAATGAGAGGAAAATCAGTTTGAGGAAAATGAAATTATTCGACTGTATTGTGAGATATGCATTGAAACAAATATAATCACTTTTGTCTGAAGTTGGATTCAAGCAGCGATCTTAGATACAAGTTTCGATATTGAGTCGTAAAAGAAAAATCATCAATTCAACAGTTATGCACAATTGAAGTCTTCTGTGAGAATTAATATTTTTGGGACTAAAGGACTTTAATCGAGGTCGATGGTCAGTTGGTAGAGAAACCGTGTAATGGGTGAGCGTCGTTGCCCCACCTACTCGAGTATAGCACGCGTGCAAACGATAATCCCTGCGGTCAGGCCGAACAGTATGGACTCGCTCGAAGGAGGAGCCAACTCGATACGAAACGTAAGGCAACGTCGCCTTTCTCTTCATTAAAATGCCCATGCACTGAATGCACACGGTTTCCCTCAGATAGGAAAATTATTATTGCCAGGCGTGTATAATTATTTTGTGAAACTTATGGTGGCCTAATCAGATTTTGCATAACAGTTTCGTTTTATGAGATACAGGTCAATTTTGAAAATTGATATACTTTTCGGACTTCTTCTATATCCTACAAAGTTATTAGGAATAATGTTGTGATAAAAACTATGTCTAACAGGTAATTTTTAGCAGTACAGTGCAGTACAGTGGCGTACTCAACGTTTTTTTCGGGGTGTGGTTTTAGAGATACGACATATATTGTTTAATGGAACACCCTGTATTTTATCATTTTGTTGAAATTTTTTTTTTCCTTTGAAATGATGTGTAATACCGTACATAGGATTTAGAAATAATAAAAAAACACTAAAACATTAGATCATGATGAATTTTTGCTAGCGGGCCGTGAATTTTCCAAATTTTACTTGAATGACTATAATGTGTGATTCATTACATTTTATATTGATTAGGTACTCCTTCTATTTCTCATACCTATTATGATCTATGAATTACTATTTATTCGTTGTTTTTAGATACCTATACGTTTTATGATTCGCGTAGGTGAATTAGGGTAAGTATTAATTTTTTTGCCTTATCTCCCATATAGTCAAGTGCCGGCTGCAAATTCCGACAGTCATCTCATAACGAGATGTAGATGTCCTATAAGGGTATGTAAATGCATTGTAATTTATCCAACAGCACCTGTGGCAATCACTCTCCTGAGCAGAATGATTGTAAAATGGCACTTTCCTGGTTTTTCAGATCTACCATTCAATTGGTATCGGATCTCATAATTCTCGTTATCGAATCGCGAAATTTTGTGCAAATCACCGCACAGGAATGTACCATTGGATTAAATACTATGTTTTTATATGCCCTTGGAACATATAACATTTTGTTATCAGATGACGGTCGAACTTTGATACCGACTCTCCTACTAATAAAAAAAAATTAGAATGGGATAGGCCACTGATTTTTTAACATGACATCATCGTGAACTCTATACTGAAAAACTACCAGCGAATTGATTTTGAATTTTGTCATTCAAGCTAAGACGATGGAAAAACTGAATTAGAATATGTCCATTTCAAAACACACAATTCCTGCGCCATTTGAAATCTTGTGAATTCATTGGTGTGACTGGTGCGACGTCTTATTCCCAACACGCCTATTGTCCTTGAACTGACCAATCACACTGCAATACTGCAGAATGACGAGGTATCAGAGAGAGATAGGTACAGTTCGGGACTAATACGTCACGACTCCACCATCATATTTGGCTGTTTGAGATATCGAATGAAATTATGCTGATTTCAAAACGATATAGATTCGATTCCCTTCAACTTTAACTCATAATATTGATTGTACATCAAACGTAAATCATGATTCGTCGATTGAAAGAGGTTTGCACGGATTTCTTCTCTCAGTGGTCTTCCCCATTCTCCAATTGATACTTCTTTTATATGAAGAATCCACGTCCCACTAGCAAAAGTTCATCATGATTTGGTGTTTCAATTAGCACTTCTTCAAGCCCTATGTATAAAGTATTATAAACGCCTGGCAAACATAATTTTCCAATATGGAAACCGTGTACATTCTGTGCATGGGCATTTTAATGAAGAAAACGAAGACGTCTTATGCTTCGAGTTGGCTCCTCCTTCGAATCAGTCCATTGTTCGGCCCGACCGCAGGGATCATCGTTTGACACACGTGCCATATTCGAGTAGGTGGGGCAACGATGCTCAACCATTCCACGGTTTCTCTATAGGATTCTGCTCGAAATTTTCTGTTGTATGTTGTTCTTAGCGCAACATTGTTACTGATAACTTCGTAGATATAGAAGGGGTCCAAGAAGTATGAATTTTCAAAATTGCCCCGTATCTCTCAGTTATGCAAAATCTGATTAAGCAAAGTTTCTCAAAAAAGTAGGACATGAATGTGAAAACCGCAATACTCTATCATCAATAACAACCGAGAAACCTGGTAGACTCAACCAAAATGGGATGCACTGTATGTACTTACATACTACTTCTATATTTTTGGTTTGATGTTGAAAACAGCGATCTTAATCGCAAGATGTCTCAATATAGAACTTCTTTCAGAACCTATATCCATGGAAAGGTATAGTATTTCATCAAGTTTTATCGATTCCTGGAGTATTGGTCATCAAAACTTGCTCACTTTCTATATTCGTTTTGACTAAGAATTGCATGCAATTGATTCCTGCATTTTATATTTTCTGCAATAATAATAATTCAGGGAAATATTTCAGCCATAAAATCCTGAGCCTGAAAATGAAGATTTAACCCAAATCACCTATATAAAATTTGTCTCCTATCTGTCACAGAGTGTTTTATCATTTATTGTATTCATAAATTCAAAAATTATTATGTAAATGTGTTTCTTTTTATTAATATGGATTGAAGTTTCATTTGCACAATGAATTCAATCCAATGATCCCAAATATCCACATTTATAAACATCAAAATCAAAATAATTGCTTCATCGCTATAATTAGTACAATATTCACGTATAAAGTATAGGAACATCGAAAAATAGTGATGTAAGACAATTCCGCCAGTGGCGTAGAATTTGGGAAGGATCAACCAGTCACTCGCCCTTGTCGTACGCCTCTGGTAGTAGTCAGAAACGTTTATTTA